ATATTATCAAGGATGGTAGTGAACATTGTTTGAATTTTCCCAGGAAACGTTTACGTCCGTGCAAAATTGTTATCTTGTCCAGTCACAATTGTGTAGCCTATTTACCAGTGTTTCTTTACGTAGTTTCTAGTTGACCTCATTTTATTGTCCTGTGTAGGCCTATCCTATCCCTAGTGATTTTCCTGGTGCAGTAAATGATGAAATGATCACTAAGACCTGTGGGAATGACGCCTGACTGACTAATGTCTCAGAGCGGTTACAAAGTATGTGGTCAATTAGGGTGGCTGAGAACTGTGTGATCCGGTTGGGTATTAATTAGTTGAGTGTAACTATTTAATCCTAGAATTTGCTTATACCTTTTTCATAGCCCGTATTTTGCTGCTGAAAACAGATATTGAAGTCGCCCAGTATTATTGTCTTCAACTCCGGACAAGACTCTGGAAAAGTCTTCTAAGAACTGGTCCTGGGTAGGAGGGCGGTAACTGTTCCTACTAAGATAGGTTTGGTCTTAGGAAGCAGCACTTCAAAAACCCTAGAATTTTCCAGTTTATTATTTAAATCAGGTTTTTTGGGTTGTAAGCTAAGTCATTTCTAATGTAGGCACATACTCCCACACCCTTTCTGTTCCTATCTAAGCGTTTTATAAATTTTAACCATCTATTTTGACCTCGTCGTCAGTCACCGTATCATTCCAACCAAAATTCAGAGATGGTTATAACTGCCGCCCTAATTTTGTTAGCTGAATCCTAAAATGTGACAGATACTGCCATACTGGCATAATGTAATATAATACAGAAGTCCAATGGGTTACAATAAGTCTAGTAGACCATGACGGCCAATGTTAAGAATCTAAGGAGCTTAGTACATCCTGGCAAACCTCGCTGAACCCTTGAAGTGGGGCACTATAAACCAGAATCGTTGAAGGTCGAAATGGTAGTAACAGTTAACAAAAAAAAAAAGAGGAAGATTTATCACTCATTTCAAGGACATGGCTACTATGGGCAAGTCTCTCTGTATACGTTTCCCCCTGTTCCCCTCCCTGGGTGTTAGCCAACTATTATGGGTCAAATCCTAGGGACGGTCGTTTAACTTTGATATATAAATATTATTGGAAGCACAGACAATGTATAATAAATACATTATTGCAAAATGCATTTATAGAAAACTACATTTAGACGTTTCGCCTGTGCGGCAGGGTTTTTCAAGTTAGTGACTTCAGAACATAAGAATGAAGGAGCATCGCATTAGGCTTAATGGTCCACGCCAGGAAAGTTTAATTCGCACCCAACCGCATCCACTCGTATACCGTCCAACCCAAAGTCCTCGCTTCAGTGATGATACCCGGGAATTTTTGCCAATCATCCACAACTCTACTGCCAAATCAGTAATTCCTTATACAGTAGTGTGCACATTAATTGGAAGAGGAGTAAATTTTGTGATTATCTCACATGTCTTCGTCTCCAGCTTAATTAATGTAGTTTAGGTTCATTTCTTTTCAGAAGAGTTTACTACCAACTTTTGGAACCCATCCAGCTGTGGTATTACCCTGCGACTCTTGTCAGTGCTACAACAGCTATTGTTCTGTAGGGCTATTCTTGCAAGCGTGCTCAGTGAGTGAATGTGGTTTCCCCGAATTCTCCATTTCAGTTCATGATTACTACTGAAATTCATGATGGATGTTTATACCAAGGAAGCGTACAAGTATTGTAGCTCTTAGAAAACATGCTGATTTGAGTATATGATAGATCGCCGAAAATCTGAGCTAGGCAGAATCAACCGTTGGTTGGATTCTGAACAGGGCTGATAACATGGTTAACTGTGGAGCGCTGCGTCGAGGAAGATGTCGAAGAAAATGCAAAACAACACCTCACGATGACAAAGTTATCATAAGTAATAGTGTGAAGGATCCCAAGAAACCCAACAAAGATCACCAGAGAGATTTAGCTTCTTGAAGTTGGCAGAACTGCCAGAAACCAGGTAAAGAAACTATTACTGAGTGCTGCTATGAAGAAAAAAACGGCTGCGGTAGGCACTCGAACATAAGGGATGGGCGACAAATGAATGGAGAAAAGTTATATTTTCAGACGAGGCACATTTTGAAGTACATTTGTACATGTATACAGATCAGTGGTAGTGAGACAGAGCAAGGGCGAACCTCCTTGGAATGGACGGTTTGTTATTGTTGAGAGAACGATGACAGTGACAAATACAAGGCAATCCTGGCAATTCATTTGCTTCCCATTATGAATAGACTCCTGATGGACAAGGCATTTTCCAGCTGGATCCTGCTCCATGTCACACTTCCAGAAAAATACTGATATTCTTCGAAGAGAGTGGGCTAAGCGTTCGAAACTGATCTGGAAACTCTACTGACCTCAACCCAATTAAGAACCTATGGGCAATAACCAAACTCAGGATCGCAAAACAGGACCGTTCAACTGTGGAGACACTAATTGTTGATGTTTTTAGGACCTGGTACCACGACGAAGAATTTGCCAAAATGTGTTCACCATTGGTCGATTATTTGCCAAAGCGTGTAGCAATTTTTATGAAAGTAAAGGGTTGTCATATCTCTTATTAAATCAATTATCTGTCATTTTATTGCCGTGTGATTTTTCAAATATGCATTAAATTTTCCAAATAAATGTCTTATTCCTTACTATTCCTATTAATATGCACACTATATCCTTTTTAAATCTAAATTAGTCCAATCTGAATCCACTGCTGCGAGTCCTGTCTTGGTTAAGATGCTTTAAAATCAAGCTTACTGTTACAGGCAAAACATTGTCTAAATAACGTTGCCTATAATTGCAATTTGTGGTTTTATTGCATACAAATTTAAGAGTAAAACCACTAGTATGCAAAGCATTGAGGAAACCCACGTGAAGACAGAAGCAGTGTAGAAAATGACTGTATATGTATTTCGATCGCTGTCTGAGATCTTAAGCTTAGGATCTCAGACGGTGGTCGAAATAAACAAGTTTGATCCTATCTCCATGTGGATTTCCTCAATTTAAAAGGATGACAAGGTTAGATTAAATTTTAAGGTTCAATTTAAGCTCATCGACAACCAGAATATTAAAGACTTTATTCTACCTTCACACTAGCCGTCAAGTATACTTTAACTTCTAGCAGAGTAAGGATTTAAATATTTTCCGTGAATATAAACAAAAAAAAAGTATCTACCTTGCTTAGGAAAATGGGGAATGGTGTTATTTGGAGGCTCTTCGTCAACGTATATTTCAGCTATGGCTGGCCTGCCAATGTAATCTATAGGATTAGGTCATCTATCTCACGAAAAACCTCTCATCCTTTAGGTGAAAATATAAAAAAAAACAACTAAAGCATCACTATTTTATTAACAGATGTATCAAAAATAAAACTAAAAAAAAATTATCCAAAGTGACTAATTTTACTTTTTCTCTGTATAGTATCAATAGCCATTTTGTTCTTCCATTTTATTCATAACAAATTTATTGCACAAATGAAGTTTCAATACTAGTTCGACTAAAATTCGTCAAGGGGGAAAATGCAATGACAATTATGTGGATTAGCTGAGTGATCATGCCAAATTGTGACGTCAGAGAAAATTCTCCCCAGAATTTCACTTCAGTAATGTTAAGTGAATGAATGTATTCGCACGCACACAACAGCATGCTCACGAATGTGACATACTGAGTAGGTGAATGGTCCTAAATGAATCTGAACAAGGTTACAACTACAACTGGAATTTTTTGTCTTGTTTACCTCGTTGGCAGTTTCCCATCGGCGAAAAATTATCCCAAGAAGGTAACGAAAGTCAGCATTACTTATTTAGCAGCTGTGGATGTTTCCCATCATGGTAGAGTGGCTCATGAAGAACAAAGGCACAGTACCGTGACCAGAACAATACCTAGCAGAACAAATAATAAATTGCGCTATTATCATAAAAATAGAACTAATGGTTGGTTGGAATCTCTTTTCGTTCTCGTCCATAGTTGACATTGAGTTCTTCACAGTTATTACTAGATATTCTAAGAATGTTCCATCGACTTCACTGTCATAGGGCCCCTAAATGCTTTTCATGTTATTTTAACAACTAAATCCAATTAGTTAACTTTCTTAATAGCAATATATAATGCTGACATACGTTTGCGTTAAGTTTTAAGCGCGTCGTGTTGTGTATCTTTTGATTGTAATATAGGTTACTGACTTCACTGCCTTTTGTAAGAAATAGTTTGTGAACATTGAGTTTATGAGAATGAATTTATGTGAATGCTAGTCAACAACGAGGCTGAGTTCGTTTTGTCTCCACAACAATTGTCAGACAACGGTGTTAACTATAATGTGAAACCCGTCGTGTCGAGTGACCGGGCCTTACATCCTCATTGAAGGGAAAACCAGTCGTGCCACGGGATTTTTGTGGTTTTATCACTCTTTATAATTACTGACCGTGATATGCCTCTCCACTTTCTAAAAAGTCTCTCACTCTCTCTCTCTCTCTCTCTCTCTCTCTCTCTCTCTCTCTCTCTGAATTCAAGATATTTCTCGACCTTCCAGTCATTCATCTCAACAAATCAATATGACGCAGGCGCCTTCATCTGGCCTGGTGCTTTATCTTTCTTTCTCCATTAACGTTACTGTTGTGTCTTACACCTCTTGAGTGCCTCGAGGTACACTCGATGCCAAGCCTCAGAGGCTATGCCCACCCAAGGAAAGTTCATTTCTGAACACTTCTGTGCCAAGGGCGATAAACATAAACACTGGCACCGGCGAGTGCGCGTGTTGCCGCTCAAACACGCGGGCAAGTGGGTGCCACTTATTTATTTTTTAATATATATATTAATAGCTCCAAAACACTAAAAATTATGTCCATGCTGAAGAAAAAAGCACATGTTTACTTACGACGCATACAGGGTACGTAAAGCAAGCATCGGTAATGACTTACAGAGAATCAAAGTAGTTGGCGGTACTTGGCGCAATTGCATCAGCCAGCAGGTTAATATCTGCCGCGGCCCGCCCAGAGGGTCAGAGCTTCGTGAAACCTGGACGTGGAGGGAGTCTCCCACATGGTCCTTAAAGCTACTGCATTAGTAGTAATATCTATGGAACACGGGGGCTTCGTCGGTGACCTTTCCGTCAAGCCAGTTCGTCTTACAACCATCAATACGTTTGAAGAGAAGCCGTAATCGCCAATATTCGCGCAACCCGGCATTTATTATATCTGCTGCAGTTCTTACGTCAGACTGACCGTAGGACTCGCCAGCTGAAACCGCTAAGCAAATAGGGGTTCAGCATCTGCAATCTTCGCACTAGCACTAAGAGGTGACCAAGAATTATTGATCAAGTGGGCTAGACGCACCGCAACGCAAAATGCTGTCAATATTACGACCCAACACATACAAGGCTCCACTCCCCTCCCTCACCAGTGGTAAGTAACTACCTAAAAATTACATAAGCTTTTCTTTAACATTTTTTGCCAGTCCTTTCAGGAGATAAAGTCCGGCAGCACACATGCCGGTACACTTGCATGCAGTATTCACACGTCACCACCCTCAGAAATCGATATGCAGCAGTTTCCATGGTGTTCGTATATTTTTTTGTGAAATTTGACTTTTCTAGTGCCTAAAACACTTGTAGCGTTAGTTATAAGCCTACAGACTGCACAGGGATCTTTCGCAATCCTCGATATTGACCCTAAATATTAAAGATTCTTTAATCCCCAAGACAGGAATTAAACTGGGATATCGATTTAACTATCTGACCTCAGATACCTAACTACATCCTCCTGAGATGCACAATTCTTGATGTATATACCGAGATACACCGGTATGTATATATATACCACAGGACGTCCACTCAGTTATCTTTGTATATACTCACGGATGTACGTAGATGCGATGATATACGCTATGTATATATATCTTAAGATACAGCTCGGTGTATATACCGGAGACATTAACAGTATATTCAAGGATGTTGGCGCCGTCTGCGGGCGGCCACTACACTCTAAGTTACTTCCACATTCGGAGTTATAATTTATTTCGATTTCAGCGCTAGTCGCTTGTCAATGTGCATTACACGAGGTTATATAACTGCGAATGGTGCGAAGACATAATATTATGGTATTACAAAACAGCTGGTGAACACCCTGCATCAAGATCGAGTCATGAACTTTGCTAATGCAAATATGTGAGCAAAACTTTATGCAACGAGGTAGGAAACAAACTTTTTCAGTTAAAAAAGGCTGCTCTTCCTTTTTCTTATCGCTTATTATAGTTGGAAATGCCATGGATAGCGAGGTGGTTAATGCAATAAATGCACCGCTGACGGTACTTGCAACTTACCGCCCCGCAACAAGTTGGCTGAACGAACCTCCAGTGGCAGTGGAATTTTCCACGCCGCGTGATATCCTCGAAAACAATCTTAACGTTGCTGAAGGTCTCTTGATCCAAGAAACTTTTTATTCATTCTATGATCGAACCTCTCTTCTCAAGTTGGGGAGGGAGGGGAAGGGCTCTTGATAAAAGGAATTATCGCCGCCGTATCCTTCCTCAGATCAAACCTGACTAAATCCCATTCCAGAGGCGCTATGAGCCCTGCGAATTTTGCGTTTCCCCATGATTGTAATATTTTGTGCATACTTTCGCTTCTCTCAGTACATTGAAAATATTTATTTATATAGATGACAGGTTGAAGAACTTTAATTCATAGCTGGTGTGAAAGACTTTTTCAGCTTTGCACATTGTTGTAACTTTCCTTAGAAAGAAAAAACCTTATTTCATGTAGCACATTTGAGCACCACCTCCCAATTTGCCTAGTTTAAGTTTGTATACATATTATGTATTCTATATCATAGTTTATTGTAAATCACTGTCTTCAGAAAATGCTGGACTTTCCCATCTGCTGTGAATATACTATAGATGGGATCCTCAAACACAAGTGTGGGAAACTATATACATGTATAGCCCTGTAAATAAAAAGGCTTCAAGGAAAAACTTTGCTGAGATTATTCACTGAGGCTGTTTGAATATTTTACTTCTACAACTTTTGCATAAATACATATACTTTATTATGCAAAATGGTACACACGTGCAAAGGATACATTGATAAAAGTATATGCAATTAGTATAAAATACAAAATACTGTACTAAGAGTTTGAGATGCATAGATACACAGGTGTTTGTCAATTATAATATATGACGGAAGGGAAGGATCTTATGTTATCGTGGCAGTGACCTGTATATTCTGTAAAATATATCAAGCATTTAAAGCCCCTCAAGTTGGTTCCTAGAAGTTGATTAGAGGTTCTTGTTCCAAGGAACTGGACTTATCCTCCCCTTCCTAAATTGAACCGGAATGCCTCCCATTTCCCTCTACAGGTTTGGCGCTTCCCCGATTACTATATTAACATATAAAATTCATATTTTAGCAGCAATGTACTGTATCATTCAGTCTTTCACTACCTAACATAATTATAAACGCAAAATTTATAACTCTTTGAACTTTATTAAATGGTAACAACAGTACAGAATTTGAGTATTTATCAGAATTTTTGCATATCCCCGCGAATGTAAGATTTCACTGAGTTTTACCGTCTATTGTTATGTTGGAACATCAAAAAAAATTTACCATGCCACCAATATAGTGCTTCTTAAAAAGTTAAAAAAAAAAAATTGCTAGTGGTTACGTATTAATGCTGATGTAAATGTGAATAACCTGTCATAGTGATTACATTTAATATAGTCCCCCTAACTCTACTTGGCAGACTTTTACGACTTTAGAGAGCTGGAGGATGAAACTGCCGCTATGCTGTTGGCTAAACACATCTGGCGTCTGCTGAAGAAAGCTCGCCACCGCCTCTACCAGGTCAGTGCCTCCCTTCAATACCAGCTTCGTGTCTCCCACCCCCTCCCATTACCAGGTCAGCTTCCAAGTCCGTGCCTCCCTCATCACCCCCCCCCCCCCACTATTTTGGTTACTCCCCAGGTCAGTGCCTCCGTTCTCTTCAAACTCGACAAACTACAAACTTGCTAACAGGAACTTGACTTCTGCTACCTACCTTCATAATTAATTGTTGGGACATCTTAGAATATACCCAGCTTACCGTTGCAGCACATTAGATCAGTTTCGTGTTATGTCCACAGTCTTTTTCATTTAATATATTTGGTCTGATGGATAGTAATCATCCAACTTTCTTTGCTACGAATGCACGGTTTGCACAATTGCAATCGCTACAAACCGAAGTAAAGATGATTGTACGTCCATCACTATCCACAAACCTGCTGACACTGACACGAGTGTAAACAGTGTTCTTCAGGAATCAACCTCTCACTCGTCAAAGCTTCGAACTTTTCAACAGTAATTGCATTTTGTTGGGATGTGTAAGCTTAATTAAGCTTTTCCAATGCATTATTAATATCTTATTAGTTTTTTATTGTATACGTCCTTTAAAAATTATACTGTGTAAGAGAATCTCAATCCCTGAGTAGCTCGGTAGTGTTTCGAACATTTCCACTGGATCCAATTGCTAAAAAATTATTATTATTATTATTATTATTATTATTATTATTATTATTATTATTATTATTATTATTATTATTAACAGCTAATGTCAAAGATAGTGTTGTTTCAATAACAAGCAACAACTTTATTAACCTATAAATGTCCTTGTAACAGATGCCTGGGTGTGAGGGTGGCGCTGGAGGTGTGTCTGTGTTGGTACCAGCTGACTTTCTTAACAGACTGTCCCGGGACGTGGTGAGGATGACAGAGGGAGAAAGACATGGTGTTAGGTGAGTACTTGTGGACAGTGATACTCTTGTGCTGCAATTTCTGGTATAATGCTCATCCTCTGCGCTATAACTTGGTATAATCCGATTAATTTGGAAAAGATGATTTAATTTACTGTACATATTGTCAGCTTTTTTATTAATTTCATAATAATGTGGTATAAAAGCAGTTTCGATGCAATTGGTGTAATAATTTTTTAATTTTTCCTGTTTCACGTGAGTGTTTTTTTTACTAATTTTAAATTCACCTTGCACTTTTTTCAGAGGCTGCACTCTACACATAGATTACTGCGACGGCCAGGAAGTGACAAAGATTGGGAAGATTAAATGTGACCCACACCTACAATCCACATCACTCCTGCACCTCACGCTCACCAGAGCACCTGAGGGACCACGTAATACTAATCCACTCCTCAGGTGAGAACACGTTGTACAACACTTTCTTTCTCAAGTAGAAACCAGCTTGTTCTTTAGAGTGATAAAGCTACAGAATGATTTGTTTCTGTGAATCAAGTAACAATCAGCCTGTTACTTAGGTTATGCTGTAACCAATTTTTTCTGCAAGTCATATAGCATCCGCCTCTAGTTTTTAACTTGTATATGAAATGGCCTAAATTCTTATTTATCCAGCTAAAATTTATTAGGTAAATGCATAATTTTATTCAATAAGTTTGCGATTTAATTTTCTGTACTAATGGACTAATCCTTTACAGAATCCTTGGCTTTGGAAGTGACAGTGTCATCTACATAAGTCCTGGATACATGCTAGAGAAGAAACGCACCAGAGACATGCGTCGTGTTGCTAGCTGAATGCGCAACGCTTTTTAGTTTCTTGCCTGGATCTAGTATAGCGCAAAGGTGGTGCATGGCATGAATATAGGAAGGTCCAGCCTTCGAGTATGTCAACTTTCAATATCCAGTTAACTTCCGTCTCACCTTTGCAAGCCAACTTTGGGGCCACGATTGTACACTTGAAAGCACAATAAACACGTATTTTGCATTTTTATATTAACTATAATGTTATTTATATTAATGTGCTTTGTCTACATTTTTTTGAAGATATATTTTTCGTAATGTAACACTTTGCATTTGTTTACAGTGTATTGCATTTAGCTCTCTTGTGATGTACATTAAACAACACAGGCTTTAATTACAGTCAGTATTACACACAAATAAGAAATACTGCATGATACAATAACTAGTTTTAGATAACCATCACCTGTCTCTGACGAAGATATTACACACCATACAACATTCCATGGCGCTGAAATCCACTCACATGCAAGCTCAACAGGGTTGAAAGGCAAACCGAGGCTAAACCAGAGCAAGAAGGATGAGGGCAGATACGAGAACTCGACAGCACGACACAGTAATACCTGGTAGTAACCACAGCAGGTACACTATCTTTACCATTGCCCAAGTGTAACAACACGTTAATGTTAACAAAAAGTTCTCAGAACTGTCAAACTTTTGCTAGTCATACTGTAGTTATAATTTTTGTCACTAATTCTTTCGTTTCTCAAGATTTTTGTTAAATAAAACACATTCATTTTATGTTGGTTTTCATTTACGTCGATCCATTTTCAGGTAAGAACCTTAAGAGGAGTCCCTTTGAGCAACTGAAGGGCTGTTCTGCTCAACGAAGGTTCCTTGATTTAAGGAATTGTATCTGCTCCAGTTCATTGACTCGAGTCTGAATTTCTCCCATTCCCATTAGGCGCTGTATGACACCTACGGGTTCAGCGCTCCTCATGAATAATAATAATGCTCAAGGAAGTGCCTTGATGCCAGTGAGGGGCTCTTGATCCAGGAAACCGGATTTATCCTTTTCCTTGGGTCAACCTGAAAGCCTTTCCTTTGATTTAAAAAACGAATATTCTCCTTACGGAATCATACTTCAATACCCTCCGCGGTTTGACCTCCTATGAGTTTGTCGCTTCCCCCTTTAATAATGTTAAACATAACTAATACTAATAACTAGCTTTTCCACAATAATGTTTTTGGAATAGTATAGGCATACTGCTTTGTAAAATTGGTCCCTGCCATAGAACAAATCATGACTTGGCATTATGATTGGAATTTGGACTAACCATTGATTTACTTATGATTTTTAGCTGTCTTATTAAATGAGTCCTGGAATAATATTATTATTACTGTAATTATTAATTCACACGTTTCATTACTGCATTCTATCTGATTTGCCTGATGTACTGTCACTTCTGCAGCCTACACTTCTGTTGTACACTATTTGAATAACTTTTACGAGTTCAGCGCTTGCTAATAAAAAAATGGGGAAAGATTATCGTAATTGATTTAAATAAAATTGTGTTGGTAGAATATGAAACACTATGGTCTATGAAAATAAATGGTATGGTGACATCAACAAGATGTATTAAGACACTTGCGTACAGTTCAGAACTGGGGTGTACATATAACACACCATGTGGGGTTTGTGACAAGATATATGTAGGATAAACAAAAAGACCTCTGGATATTTGGATCAGTGAGCACCAAAAAGCCTGTAACCGTAATGAACGTAAAAAACATGCGATAACGCGCTTACAAGACAAAAATGCCTGCAGTCGGAATGACCGACTGCACTGAAACCCAACACGCTAGTTCACAAAGGAGTGCACTGCGCACCGTGACCTACGCCGCCGCCATATTTCACCCAGGAAGCGTGCGAAAATTCGAGTCCAAGAACTTTTTCAGAGCACCTCGAATACGTGATATGAAATGACTCGCAATGAAGTATTTTCAAGCCCCATTCTTGTGATATACCTATGTATATTAGAGTCCTCACAGGAAATGAAAACTGAGTGTGAGGGCTTTTGGGTTATCCGGAATTAAATCGTTACCATTGTATTCTTTTTATATTCACGCTACAACGATGTCAATTATATTTAGATTATTGTCTTTAAAGATGGTAAATACAAATCAATACTTAATTTACAGGTGGCTTTTCTAAAATAACTCATTTCTACCTTTGACTGCACCCTGTAAACAACACATACAGGATCTCTTTAATTATGTACATTCACAATACTATTATGAAGAAGACAAGATAATATATTAATGTTCAAATGAGCGAACTGTATATAAAAAAATTACATCATAAGATTTACAACACTAGGAATTACAAGCTTATTATTCATCAAAATATTTTAATATATTACATACAATGACCAATTTTAATCACCGAAGGCTCACGTATTTTATGTAGAGGATCTACATTCTACAACGTAACGCCCATCTCCTAACAGTAAATATCTTCCCCAACAGAGATTTGCTACACAAAAGGCAAACCTGTTCCAGTTAGGGTACTTTTGAACTGGTGGATCAGGAAACAGATGTAATGTTAGCACGTCATGAAGCGCCACTGGAGGTGCCGGGAAGCCATTATAGTTGCTGAAGTTGAATTTCATTCACCCACGTAGATTTCAATATAATATTGACGCATCACACCTTTCAGGCTTGTACTCACCTTGTTTTTGAGAGTCACCAGTATGATGAATAATCACTGCTATTAGAAATAGCGCCATAAATTTGGGCGAACAAAACACACGTTTTAACTTTGACTCGTGGAGGTAGCCTAGGCTCCCGTGGTAACTTCAAGGTACTAATGCATCCCTTAAAAAAATCAACGTAAGCATAGCGTTCAGCTAATAATTAAGAAACTATTTATAAAGTATTTTAGAGTTGCAGTACAGCGTGTGATATAAATTTCATCAAACAAGAAGCTTCAGAATTAAATTAAGTCATAAAGGCGAAAAATCTAGTTACCAAAGGTTGATTACAGTAGTTTGTATTATTATTATTATTATTATTATTATTATTATTATTATTATTATTATTATTATTATTATTATTATTATTATTATTATTATTATTATTATTATTATAATCAAAAGAAGCGCTAAACCACACAGTAGTTTGGAGAAATGTTATGGAATAGTTCTATTACCCAATGCTTTGTTCATATATCATAGCCAATTGAGGCATTTGTAATGGTTCTTTGGTCTAATGCATATTTATCATAATCCTAACAATAGTAGCATGATTTACAATAATAAACACTAATACAATAACAGAGAAACAAAACAGAAGTCATTCCGGTAAATTCAAGAGGTATGCATAAATATATGCATATCTATATACTTGATATTTAATATATGTACTTACCAGATAATGAGAAGACAGAAAGGAATGTCACCCCTTATATTTTTTTTATTTTTACAAATAATTATATACAATTATTTTTACAATGAATAAAACAAGCGAAAAAGTGTGTGGCCTGGTATTCTGAACCTGCACATGACCATCCATGCTCATTCCTAATTTACATAAAGACGTTCATGACATAACACTACCTCTTTCCCTTTTGTATGATCATAAATTTCATTCATTTATATCCTTTACTGGCGTAGGTCGCTTGATCCAAGGAATTGGTATCATCGTTCATCATATCAAACCTGTTTAGTTTCTAAAAGAACAGACACAGTATTCTGACTGGAATACACAAATAACCTGCACATAGGAGAGATAGAAGCTTACGACGACGTTTCGGTCCGACTTGGACCGAAACGCCGTCGTAAGCTCCTCTCTCCAATGTGCAGGTTATTTATGTACTGATTACCTCCCTTCTCTTTCCCAACCTCCTCCATCTCCGAGCTGTTGTGACCCATTGTTGATTCAAGAGTCTCCACTAATTTATAATTTCAATTTTGAAGATGGAATGATTAATAAGTTAAGCAACATAACCTTAGGCTTTTGTAAAATACTCTCTGTATAATTATTATTCACCAAGTGTTACTTGACCCATAGTGTCCAGTAACACTTGGTGAATGAGAGGATAGCTCCAATTCGTTCGATCAAGAGCCCCTTATCAACATCCCTTAAGGGAACATGATGTCTAACTTTTCTTGTGTCTGTTAATGACGGTGCAGAAAACACACTACATTCATTACTTAATAAGATATGGCCTATCTAAACTTTATTAGCTACGCCCTAGTCAATAATCCAGAGAAATCTAAGTAATCAAACTAGTTCATAGCCCAGTAGAAGAATGGTCGGCCCGGGTTCAGTTCTAGGAAAGACGGGGCATAATTGCAGGTCTATTAACTCCTGTTGCCCTGTTCACCTAGTCAACAGATACCCGTTAGGGGTCGCATCCTGGGGAAGGGCATAGGAACCCTAATGTATACAATACAGTGCTTGTATCTCTTGAGTTATCCTGGGTTATTAACCCTCATAAACAAGTTCTTAAATATATACACAAATACTGGTCTCTTTCAGAAGCATTAATGTATTAATGATCACTTAATTCATTTTCTATTTTATTTGCCAGTGTTGCTTTTATAGTCAAAATGTATATAAATTCAAATACATACTATTGTTCATTTCTACAAATACGTCATTCTGATTTTTTTTTAGTTTCGTAAAATGGCTAGGAGCAACCATCTTCTCAGTGATGACTTGGAGCAATTATCTTCACGTAATGATGGTTAGGGGCTATTCACATAATGCCAACGAAAGCCTACCATCTTCACACAGTGCCAGGTAGAAGCTACCATCTTCACACAGTGCCAGGTAGAAGCTACCATCTTCACACAGTGCCAGGTAGAAGCTACCATCTTCACACAGTGCCTGGTAGAAACTACCATCTTCACACAGTGCCTGGTAAAAACTACCATCTTCACACAGTGCCTGGTAGAAGCTGCCATCTTCACACAGTGCCAGGTAGAAGCTACCATCTTCACACAGTGCCTGGTAGAAACTACCATCTTCACACAGTGCCTGGTAGAAGCTGCCATCTTCACACAGTGCCAGGTAGAAGCAACCATCTTCACACAGTGCCAGGTAGAAGCTACCATCTTCACACAGTGCCTGGTAGAAACTACCATCTTCACACAGTGCCTGGTAAAAACTACTATCTTCACACAGTGCCTGGTAGAAGCTGCCATCTTCACACAGTGCCAGGTAGAAGCTACCATCTTCACACAGTGCCAGGTAGAAGCTACCATCTTCACATAGTGCCAGGTAGAAGCTACCATCTTCACAGTGCCAGGTAGAGGCTACCATCTTCACACAGTGCCAGGTAGACGCTACCATCTTCACACAGTGCCAGGTAGAAGCTACCATCTTCACACAGTGCCTGGTAGAAGCTACCATCTTCACACAGTGCCAGGCAGAAGCTACCATCTTCACACAGTGCCAGGTAGAAGCTACCATCTTCACACAGTGCCAGGTAGAGGCTACCATCTTCACATAGTGTCAGGTAGAAGTTACCATCTTCGCATAGTGCCAGGTAGAAGCTACCATATTCACACAGTGCCTGGTAGAAGCTACCATCTTCACACAGTGCCAGGCAGAAGCTACCATCTTCACACAGTGCCAGGTAGAAGCTACCATCTTCACATAGTGCCAGGTAAAAGCTACCATCTTCACACAGTGCCAGGTAGAAGCTACCATCTTCACACAGTGCCAGGTAGAAGCTACCATCTTCACACAGTGCCAGGTAGAAGCTACCATCTTCACATAGTGCCAGGTAGGAGCTACCATCTTCATACAGTGCCAAGTAGGAGCTACCATTTTTACACAGTACCAGGTAGAAGCTACCATCTTCACACAGTGCCAATCGGAGATACCATCTTCACATAGTTCCGTAGGTGGTCCAATAAGATACGTTCAGAATAAAGAAAGCAAATGGGAAAAATAGGCGAGAGAATTTGTCGATGTAGAGAGCAATATCCTTGCCAGAGCAGCGGTGAACAACGTACTGCGGAACTCCAGGGCTGTGAGATCGTATGCGGCTGCGACTGCGGCTTCGACTGCGGGAGTACCCATTCAGACGAGCGTCCTCAGACTTGAAAAAAAAAACATGTACAGCTTCATGTTAAATTTGTATTTAATTTCCAAATTTTAATGTCTACTTGATATTTTAACTAGGTTTCAATTGTATCATTTAAAAAAGGCTAGTTCAGATGGACTGCACTTTCTCCTGTCAGAAAATTACCGCATGTCAATTTTTTTTGGGGGGGTTATCTTAGGTAATTTACACATGTTAATATGTAATTGTACTTATGTGTACTTATAGTGTAGTGTACTGAAGCAAGTTAAGCATTATATACCTTACACTAGCATGTGATAAGTTAGTAGCTAAGTGAAGTTGTTTTGAATGAACATTAAGTGGCATTGTCAGTGCTCATTCTTTAGACAGAGTTATACTAAGTAAGTTGGAATATGACATCCTGCGGGATGCGTGTTTCAGGCAAACATTACCTCGTCGTATGATGGAAGATTAGTGTCAAGTGACTATCCCTGGCGTATTTATCAAACAATACCATACCTTCTTTTCATCTAAATCATGGAGATCTTCGACGGAGTAGCCCGTCATGTCCTTACTGAGCGGTTCAGTCTCCATGAAGTAGTTGACGATGCCAAACTGGAGGAGGGAGGCGAACACAAATACTGTACATGATGACATCCACACATCTATGGCTTTTATGTACGACACTGGTGGCAACGACGACTGCGACTGTTGGTTCTGGGTGGCTAAATAGCATCAAACAAAGCGATTAATAGTATAATGAAATTATTTTTTAGAGTAATTATCGAAATACACTCTAAAACAACAGATTCGTCCTTAATTAAAGCCTACCATCCCATCTAATCATGTTAAGCTAGGTTGGGTAAGGTTTGTCAGGAAACAAGATTAGTGTTTCCTGACGTGGGTCTTGTCATATGATGACCCACAGCTGGAGGTTTTGGTCATCTGACAGAGGCCTTCGGCTGGCTTACCGGTTCACATCTTTAAAAATTATGGTTAGGACTTATTGTTCCTAGTCAATCATGTTATCGTGACTGGGTGAACTGGAACAGTCTTCAAGAAGGCACTGGAGAGGCGCCTAAAGTCAGTACCTGACCAACCGGGCTGTGATCCGTACGTCAGTTTGCGTGCGGCCGGCAGTAACAGCCTAGCTGATCAGACCCTGATCCACCATGAGGCCTGGTCTCAGACCGAGCCGCGGGGGCGTTGATCCCCGAAACCCTCTCCAGGTAAACTCCAGGTCAAATGATTAAAAGTTAAACTGAGTGAGTCATCTTACGAGGAAAGCCAACGTTAGAAATCTCCATGCTTCTTTTAACAAATAAAACACCACCATAAGTACAGGCACTTGGTAAGTTTCTCCAACACACTTAAGATAAGCTGTGGTGCAATCTGCAAAAATCCTTCATACTACTGTACGACCTTTTGATTGTACTAGAAAGGCAACACAACATGGGTGTTTGACCTATAACATGTAATCTCGCCATTTCTCCCCCTGCTGTAAGTATGAGAGAACAGAGACAAAAAATCTATTTTGCAAATCGAGTGAGGTGGAGACAAGAGCAAATTTAAGAAAGATGAGGCAAATTGTAGAGGAGTGGGTCATTTTCTGAATGAAGGGGACATATGTTGTGGAGGATGGAGAAACACACTGTAGACAAGAGAGCCGACATATGTTGTGTAGAGGGAACATTTATTGTAGAGGAGGCTGAAGACATGTTAGAGGAGGATGGGGGACATTTTTGGGGGGGCTCTCATAGGAGACATTTTGCGGAGACAGGTGGCATATTTTGGAGTACGGAGGGGATATATTGTGCAGGAAAGGACGTTGTAGTATAATGAGGAGGAGTACATGCAGTATGTTTTGCTGTCTGAATTAAAAAAAAATTGTAGATCATGGACAAATTAAAGAGAAAACATGCTGGCCTTATTGTTATTATTGTTGTCGTTTTTACATTTAGTAATTTATACAGGAGAAGGGGTTACTAGCCTCTTGTTCCTGGCATTTTAATCTCCTCTTATGACATGCGAGGCTTACGGAGGAAGGATTCTTCTCCACTTCCCCATGGAGATTATAATATTTTTATTATTATTCTTATTATCATATTATTATTATTATTAACTTGAGTGATATTTAAATACTACATGATAATTAGCTTGGTTGCAGTAAGAAGAATACCTCTTTCTATATTTTATTTTAATCAGTGGCAAGTGCTCAGCTCACAGGGGTTACCGCTTTCTATAATATATATTTAATATTTATTACATAAGAGGCATTGTGAGGAATACCCCTTAGGCTGTTATATATTTATTATATATTATATACACAAATAACCCTATCTCCGATGTGCAAGTTATTTGTGTATTGCTCCAGTCACGGTATGGTGCTTATTTGTTCTATATGTTATATAAAGAGACATTACTCACAGCAATTGGATAATTTTTAGTCAATAACCCCGCAAGCTTAACCTCCTTTATATACAATATATGTCTTGTGTAAGTATAATTCGAGAAAGAGCAAGGTGAGTGGTGAAAGTATGGTGATGTATTGTCCATGAGGAAGATAGGTAAGGTCAAGCTGCTCAGGGAGGAACTTTCTGATGACATTTCGTTTCACAGCCTAAGTTCTATTAACCTACCTCAGGTTATTATAAATTATTATGATGGCCTTCTGCTTGTATTATGGTGGTCTTCTTGTGTTATGGTGATCTTCTGGTTATGGTAAATTTTTGGTTGTTTTACGGTGATCTTTTGGTTGTTATGGCAGTCTTCTGGTTGTGTTAATGTCTTCTGTTTATGCTATGGTGGTCGCGTTATGTTATGGTGATCTTCTAGTTATGTTATGGTACTCTCCTGATTGTATTAGTGATCTTCAGGTTATATTATAGTGGTCTTCTGGTTAATTACTAGGTTCGACCTATACTTTCAAGTTCACAGTGACTTGAAATAATAAGTGTGGGATTAATAAAGGATTACGGAGGGTTGCTGGCCCGCCTGCTGACCACCGCGCCATTCATGTTGCAAAAGAATCAGAACTAGGGAACCCAAAGATGTAATTAGGCTATGGGGGATCATTACGATCACAAAGTATATTTTAACTGATAACCCCTTAAGACGACCCTAAGTTAGAAAACTGTACACAAAAGAGTCTTCTATGTAGAGCTTCGCAAGACTGAGAAAGTGATTACTTCATTTTATAATGACCTAGTATATCAGTATATTATCTCCGTAAGATAAGATTTCGTTCGGATTTTTAACCCCGGGGGGTTAGCCACCCAGGATAACCCAAGAAAGTCAGTGCGTCATCGAGGACTGTCAAACTTATTTCCATTGGGGTCCTTAATCTTGTCCCCCAGGATGCGACCCACACCAGTCGACTAACACCCAGGTACCTATTTGCTGCTAGGTGAACAGGACAACAGGTGTAAGGAAACGTGTCGAAATGTTTCCACCCGCCGGGAATCGAACCCGGGCCCTCCGTGTGTGAAGCGGGAGCTTTAGCCACCAGGCCAGGTTGGTAAAACGTGTTCAATTAAAGATACCCAGGTGTTGCATATGTCTGATACCTTGAGCCTACCTAGGGTGAGGAGGGAGGTGACGCCCAGAGTGACCCTGGCAGGAATAGCCTCTGGCTTGATCCAGAAGGAAATCCACGACATAACGACGGTGATGGCAGAGGGAACATAGGTGTGGAAGAGGTGGTAACCCAGCCGGCGCCTCAGGTTGAATACCACCGCCAGGCACGTGAAGTTTCCTGCAGGAGATCCAAAGAGAGGATATAAGTACTGATCAATTCATATGGGTTTAACGCTCTCCCACGTATTTAAGAATAATAACAGGCCCGTCAAAGAAGTTGCATTGATGCTAGTGAAGACCTATTGATCCAAAAAAAGGTAAAAACAAACGAATATATATATATATATATATATATATATATATATATATATATATATATATATATATATATATATATATATATATATATATATATATATATATATATATATATATATTATATATATATATATATATATATATTATATATATATATATATATATATATATATATATATATATATATGTATATATATATATATATATATATATATACACACATAGGGGAGAGTATTAAAATGATCTAACCAGTGGAGTAGGTAAGGGTGCAGTCCTCGGTGTTGTTACGAGAGATGTCTAGTTGTGGTAGTTCTATGTCCGGGTTCACTACCAGAGGATCCGTCTCGTTCCATTTGAAGACTAAGTCGTGCGTTGTATGGGACACTGAAGACGCAACACAACACATTACATTATTATTGTATATTCATGGAGAAGCACTAAACCAGTAGGGATCACACGGCATCTGGGAAATGTAGGGTAATCAGATTTGATCCGAGGAATAGAAGGGTAGTTCCAATTTCTTGGATCAAGAGCCCTTCCAAAAAGCTGCCTGCGCAGGAGTGGGAAGGCCAGGCTATAACTAATAACTAGTCCCCAGGTGGGTGCCCTGATGTTGATGGTTTATCAAGCAAACAGGAGCTATCCTTCCCTTCATGGGATGAAATCTGATTACCTCCCATTTCCCAGGCTCTGTATGACATATGGGTTTAGCGCTTCACTTTGTTCATATAATAATGATCTAGTGAATAAGTCGCGTGTTATAAGTGATCACAAGATAACAAACCTTAGAAAGGATAGGAAACGAAGGAGGAATGTAAGAATATGATGATAAGGAAGAAAAGAAAACAAACTGGTGGTTAGGGAAGGGGGTAAAGAGAGGGGACCGAGAAAAATATGAAAAGAGGGAGAGTAGAAACTCACAGCTCTCGATCATCATGGAGCAGATCTGGGTGTCATGAGGGTAGGCCTCAAACTTCATGGCACACGACAGCACTAGCGTCAGCCTGCCGCGGAGCAAGGGAGGGAACACGGACGTCATTGGCAGAATATAATCTGGCTCAATGTTCCACAATATGCATATGTATATTTATGGTTAAGAAAAATGGTTATCTTAGTTCTCTCAGCACAGGCCCAATCTGTGACCCAGCGACGGGAGGTGGTAACCCCCGCCGCCCGGTGACCAAGGGGGACACCGCCCCCGGTGAGGCGTTTAAACAAACGAGTTTATACACACACATACACACACTGAGAGCAGCACTGCCCCTATAACTATAAATAAGTAATTATGAATATGTAATCATATACACGCACAAAACGAAACTTATAGCCCATTCCAATTCCTGTCCGTATTATAAAAAAATCTCTCACGAACTTGGCCATGTAGAGGAGAGTTTTGTCGTGGTAGAGCCAGAGGTAATGGTTGGGGACTGACATCTCATGGAAGGTGACCCGCTTGGCGTTCTTAAAGAAGCAGTCTGGGCGCCAGATGTTGTGGAGCCACTCCACGTCCAGAATGCGGTACTCCTCTGTCATGTTCTCAGGCAGCCGGAGACGGTGGTCGCGCCAGCTCTGGGCCAGGAAGATATCTGCTACGTACGTCTGGAAGCGAGAGAGACCCACATAACTATGGAGCAGCTGATATAGCATGAAATTCCAGACGCATCCACAGAGCCAGTCATGTCTCATGCGGGATTATAAACTCATAACTGGGCATGAACAAGACTGTAAACTCAGAGTAAGAGACTGTAGAGTTAAGGTAAGAGACTGTACACTCAACGTATGTATCAGAAAGCAAATACATATGGTTGACCACTAACTATGTTGTTGTCGGGGTTTTAAGGGCCACTGATAGCTTGCGCCGTATTTAGCCCTACTTCATGGTCCACGAAATGGGGAAAAAGTTTACACAAAATAAATTTATATCGTTTGTAATTATTCTCTGAGAAAGGTGCAGATAACATTTGAATATAGCCTTCAGTTAATCTGGCATCTGTCTGGTATTTAAGACTAGAGTTTGTGCTGCTCTTCCTGCCAGCTTGGTAATATTACCCCTCAAGGAAGGTTCCTTGATGTTGGTGAGGGGCTCTTGATTTAGGGAATTGGATCTGTGCTCCAGTTCCCCGAATTAAGCCTGAATGCTTTCCACATCCCCCCCCCAGGCGCTGTATAATCCTCCGGGTTTAGCGCTTCCCCCTTGATTATAATAATAATAATAATTGGTAATATTACAGGGAGCATTCAGTAGTAAATAGAAGAAAAATCTTAAGACGGCTTGGACGTCAAGGTGGCGAGGAATGGCGGTGTTCCCACTAGCATAGGCCAGCCAGGGGGCGCTGAGTGTCTAATGACCAACGACCTCCATGAGAATGGTAGGCTTCGCGTTTGATTGATGGTCTCACCACATTTTCTAATGTATTAGACCAGCCCTGTATAGGATGATACAGTGGAACTCTATTGCGCAAGAATTTATTCTGCTCATACCGAACTCTGACTGTCTTTAGGTCAAAGAAGGGTTCGACTTTCTACAGTTCCGTTCATTATAAATGGCTCTGGGTTTGGCTCAGACATTTTCGTTCATATAGCACGTACATTATGGACGGAAACGTCTAGGTCAAAGCCAGAACCATTTAGTCCAAGTGGAACTGTAAGATGTCGAATATTAGACTTCCGCAAGAAGGGCTAATATTGCACAAGCCTTCGTAGCCCTTAAAAAGCAAAATAAGAACATATTATTAAAATATACACAATCGTTGCACAATTCAGTGATATTTGTCAAATATTTTGAAAAATTCCTGGTTTTGTACAGCATTTCGGGGAAGGGGAAGGAAATGACCATTCTGGGTGGAAAAGAAAAACGGTATAAAATTTCTCATACTTCGGCATCTGTCTGACTGCTGAGTTCAGCACAAATAATTATGCTAGCTATCGCTTCTGTCGTGGTCCAAGACAGGATCTCAACATCTTCCCCATTTTCACAGGTATCCTTCACCATTCTTGCAGCGCCCCCGCCATTGGGCCGACATCAGTGAACAAATTATCCTATAAAAGCCACTGTCAGGTGATTTTGGCCTGAGGGACCAAAAAAACATCAACAACTGACCATGGACTCCTCGTTGATGGAGTCGACGGAGAGGACGGTGACATGAAAGTAAACAATGGTGGCGTGTCCCTCGTACTTCGGTGGACGGTTCTTGTCGTACTTCTTCAGATCTCTGGGGAGGATGTCGTGTAGTACCAGCCCCGTCTGCGCCCGCACCCTGAGGAGAGAGAAATATCAATGTACAGATATTCAAATAACTGATTAATTATTAAGTCTTCCTTGTTACTCCTAAAATTTATATACAATTTAAGAATATGACTGTTAAATAGAATACTGTGCATCAATTGGAAAAGTTCACCTATGAACGAAACGTTGTCTTATATAGATTTTGCACTGCTACAGGTCACTGTATTAAGTCCAACCAATGTTCTATATAACACCTAATAACATGTATCCCCCTTCTTCTATTACCATCTAACAGATATGTAGCTTCTAGTGGTCCAATGATATCAAAATGCCCACTGATTCCCGTAATAAAAATAGCAGTTATAAACCATTTACCGTTGTTCCATTATACTAATATTTCATAGTTTACATTTTTTTTATCATATTAGTAACAAGGATAACCATACATAGGCGTACATAACGAGATCTGAACAGCGTGTCCAGGTTTATGCTTGGCTAATCACATTTTTCTGTGCCTTACTCGTGGCATTGTGTTAAAATATAGATACAAGGAAGCCTTTCGTGTTTCTGTAAATGAAGCGGATTGGTCGATTATTAGATTTAAAGCTTAACCACTACAGGAAGGTTGATGAAGCTGCATGTTGCTTGCCCACCACCAGACGACTGTTGTATGACCATTATAATAGTCCAGTAATAGGATTAGAGAATACTATTTCAGTTCATGCACTGGGATTTGCGTAAAGTTATAACGACCTTGAAATAAGTGCTTACAAGTGCAGACCAGAGATAACTGTTAAGTGTATTGTAGAAGTTAATAAGCCTTGGATAAAGCAGAGGAGTTTGTGATTTTCCTTCGTAGGCAAGAGATCGTAATATATTGTTCACGGATTCAACCTGAGGCCATCATTTGGCTTCTTTCAGTAGTTTTCATGATGTGAGCATCCTCCATTCTTCTAATGCTGTCGCTATCCATAATTCTTTTTTTTAATATCATTCACTATGGGAATGAGAGGTTTTAAAACCAATAAACTAGTGAAAAAGCAGTAAAACAGAATGGAAACAGTTATTAAGACTCGATAAAGGTTTCTATCCTTTCATTGTGACACACACACACACACACACACACACACACACACACACACACCAAGTCGAGAATTGCATCCTTGATTACTGAGCAAAGAAAGTGTGTGTGTACTCACAATTAAATGAGTACACACACTTTCTTTGCTCAGTAATCAAGGATGCAATTCTCGACGTGGTTATCACACTTCTCTAGCAACAAAATCGTTCAAAGTTCAATTCTCACCGAATGTTAATTTCAATCTTAGTTGGAACTACTTTTCGGAACATAACCCTACTTCCACCAGCCTGTTGCAACACCTAAATGGTTGACAAACATCCAAATATATGAGTGAGATTCGCTTTAACATTTCACTCCAGACCTGAGAATGGGCCAACTCGTTACTACAACGTTCCACTCTGCAGGGAACCATAATGTGGGTGGGTAACTGGCAACGCCTGAAGAACCTAGTAGCTTTCCTTTCTGTGAGATTATTCTGTATAAAAATAGTTCTGTCAACATTACTTATTTCATTTTGTCTACTACTGTCAGCAGACTTGCCTCACCTCAACCTCTCTCCCTTGCCGTTCTCGAGAGCTCTTGCAAGTTCCTCGAAGTCGTGGATGGGCATGTTAGCCTCTAGCTCAATCAGGAGATGATAACTGGAGAGACACACAGCCTTGACTAAATTCTTCAGCTGCTGTTCCGGAGAGACCACAGTGTTTGTGGTAACCCTGCTGTTGCTGGTGGTAGGGCTGGCGGTACCACAAACCTCGTTGGACACACACGCCCCTTTGTTCCTACCTGCTTGTTCATAGACATTAAAGCCGCTGTCCTTGTTGTAGGTGCGCTTTACTTTCTGAGTAATGGACTCCAGGTTGAAAGTGTTGTAGCAATTGGGGTAGTTCTGGGCACAATAGTCAAGGATGGCGTCATTGAGATTTAGAAGCTGTGCCTTGAACTCTTTGCTATTTGTAGTGTTGGTAGATTCATCTTGGCTGGGGATGACGGTGTACATGGTCAGTCCTCCCTGACTCATAGCCAGGTGATCCAAAATGCGTTTTGACCGCTCTAATACGATTTCGTAGCTCTCGAAGCTGATGCTCTTGATGTTAAAGTAGACAATTAGCTGCCGCATTGGGTTAGACGACTCCCTCACAAGATCTCCAATGCTGTAATGGTCAATTAACTGCAGGGAAATATACCTAGAGCAGTTCCTGAGAGTATCCATGATGTTGTCTTTTACATTACCGAATATGACGAGGTTTTGTTCCCTAAGAGGGTTCTCACCCACGGGAGATTCCATGATTGAAGATCCGCTGATCTTACCTCGTTTTCTGTCAATAAAATTAAATCCTCCGTGAAGTTTATTACTGGTGAACATTCTGTGTTTATCCCGCCGGATGAGAGCAATGGGCGGATACATCTCCGGGGAAAAGCCAATGGCCCTGCTGCCAAAATCTGGCATGAAAACCCCGCTTACTTGGTTATACAACTCCTCGTTGTGGCTCCTCTCATTGTCATACTCCAGCAACTTGTGACCCTTTGCGCTGGACTTCTGTTGCTGATTTCCGAAGAAAGGCGACAGAATGTTGGCCATCATATCACCAGTATTTGGCTTTTTCCTGCTTTTCTGGACATCGGGAATGATGAATGGTTTAGACTTCTTCACCATTCCTGGGAGAATGTGTGGAGCTTCCTGAACGTTCATTATTCTCAAGCTGGGAATAAACGGACCGAAGGGGAACTTGGCAGGAATGAAGGCTGGGTCTAGAAACTCGTCATAAGTATCGTTCTTTGCATTCGGTTGTGTCACAGTCTCTTCTGCCCTGTTTGCATCACCAACTCTGTCTGCCTCGTTCCCTTCTGATTTTTTAGTTAAACCTTCTTCGGATGTAATTACTATCGTATTGCCCACTTCTGGAGAAGTTACAGAATCATTTGAGTTTTCTTCCCATCCAGGAGTGGCTGAAAATCTCGGATAATTTGTATTATGGGGGAGGTGTGGTATGGGGGAGATGGTTTTATTGACTGGACGAGAATTGGTCGAAATAGGAGGCAAGGGTGGTGAAACCTCTGTAAGTTCAATAGTTTCTACAGTAGGCAGAACCACAGGCTCCTCCACATAATTAGTGAACTCCATCTCCACTCCCCCACCTAGGTCGTTTGATATGTTGTTGGCATCGGAAGGGATGATGAATGAAGATTCGGTAGATGTCGAGAATTCATTTTCACCTTCGGTTCTCCTTTGGTAACCCTTAAAATTCATTTTTTTGATAAATGTTTCATCAACAATATGTTTACCTGAATGGAGCTTGGGCTTATTGATCCTCATTCTTGAAAACTTGGAAGGTAAAGCAATGCCTTCACTGTAGCCACGGACAGGAAATGTAGCTACACTTGTGCTCTGATTCATTGTCATGTTATATCTAATCTTATCAGAGTCAGAGAAAACTTGTTTGTTACCGATGGCAGAAGAACCTGAAGGTACAGGAACCGGCCTTTGTTTTTCCCTTGTGTTATACAAATGACTGAATAAATCAGAATTTGTGACGTAATCTTTCTCAGTTACAGAGTCATGTTCTTCCCTGAGATTTTCTACACCTAGATTGCCTCTGTCAAATATATCACCCAGTCCCCCTTCAGATAAAGATGGGAGAAGGTTAGTAAGTGTATCAACATGTTTTAAGGGTTGGTTTTCCATTTGCGTCTCTTTGTGTCTACGGTGTCTAATTCTTTTTGTCTTCCGGCTGTCATGGAGAAAAGTTTTCGTGTACAACTGTTGAAGACCCACCCTCTGCCCTTTACTGTTCATTCTCATCGTGTCTCTCTTCTCAAAACTAATAACCATTCTCTCGATGTTCTCAAGCACTGTTTCGCTGTCGTTCGTGCTCTCAGATGTATATGATTCTTGTTGTATCTTAGCATCATTAGGGTGTGTCGTACCAGAGAGTGAACCATCTATTTCCTCTCTGCTATTGTGAAATTTTCTTTTGAGTACCCGGACAGCGTCGTGCAGCGGGTGTTGATATTGTAGCTGACAACCAAAAGAAATATATTGCGAAGGGAATGAAGATACTGTGGAAGTTCCTTCTAATGCCAGAGGATCTGTGACGTGTGAAGGGGCTTCTCGCTCCAAGACCCCTTCATCCACGAGACCTTTTGGTTGTGTGATACTTTCTTTCTGGAGGAAGTTTTCTTGTGAGACCCGTCTTGACTGTGGAAGTCCTCGCTGGAGAGCATCATCTAGCAGGTGTAAATGACGGATGTGAGGAGAATGGAGGGTCAGATCACTAGCGAGTGACCTGGTCCTCCCAGAAACAAACATCGGTACTCCCCTGGAGTCACCAACCTCCGCTCTGCAAAGAAAGTAAAATGAGGTCACATTGGGTCAAACCAAAGAAAATGCAACTTCTTAAAATATATATCATTGATTTCATGAATTTTAATGATATGACCCAGATTAACCTCATTTTACTTTACTAAATATTGAAGTTGCACAAAATGCATAAGTTATGAAACCGAGGAGCATAATTTTATTTTTTTTTCTTAAACAGTTTAGGTACTCACATCATGTCATGTACAGGGTATGCAGCTGAGAGGAGCCAGAAGAGGCAGAGTGATCTCAGAATCCAGGAAGGGTAATCCAGCGTCGCACCACACATTCTGAAAACAACACACCTAGAGTCAACACAATGTACCTCGAAGTCACGCCACACATGTACGTATGTCACAAGATACGTCCTACAGGTAACGTACCACACTCATGTTACCACATAGCTGGTAGCGGCCTTAGTTAATTTTATATTTTGCAAGAAATGCCTAAATAAAAACTTTTTCACCGGTAACATTACATTACTCCAACATCCACTTGCCATAACATAATTAGTCCTGGTGAGAATGTTATATTAATGTGAAGCAATAAATATACGTATTTAGGTACAGGTACACATAAGTACAATTATCATACATAGTAACATTTGTGTATATTACCTAGGTTAACAAAAAAAAAGTCGAAGTGACTATTTTCGCTGGGGTCCTCGTTAGTTACCATTGTTATCATTGGTCCGTGTTCCACTTTCATGAGGAAGAGGCGCCTGGTAAAAAAAATAAAGCTAGGCCTATCACAGAAGACGTACTGAAGATAAGCAAAAATATTTTAGTAGGATGATAAGACCTAAGGTTTTTTAGCGGGTATATTACAAAAAATAACCTAACTTGTCATCCAGGGCATGACTTGAAGACCAGGGACGGCGCTAAGGAACAAGAGGGGGCTGAAGCTCTCAATATAATGTCACCCCTCAAATAATAATAATAATAATAATAATAATAATAATAATAATAATAATAATAATAATAATAATAATAATAATAATAATAAGATTAAGAATAAGAATAAAAATAATAATAAACGTTGCTAGAAGACCAGTCTTATAACTCCATCCTCTTTCTTTTAGATCACCACAAGTCCTTCCTGTATAAAACTTCAGGAGACTCCCTTGCCCTTCACGGGGAAGGGGGGGGGGTTGAACATGTTTTTTTCGAGAAAAGTTTTTCTGTCACTTGTATTTTTTGTTTACTATTGTCAGTACACTGTTTGACTCCAACTTACCGAGTCATCTTGAAGTCTTCTTCTGAATATTACAAGTTCTTTGTAGCTTGACATTGAGCGAGAAATTGTTGCTTCAATGAAAATGAAGGAGTGGTGGCTAGGTAACCATCGTGTATCCCGGTTTATATTACCAATTGGCCTCGTTACTCCACTCACAGTTATCTCACTACCTTGTCCCTACGGGGTTAGCGCTTACTCACGAATGTGTTATTGTTTTTTACTGCCCTCTTGATTAGCATCACGTTCCTCGGTAAAGTAAACACATGGTTTCAATCCTGCGCTCTTCGGGTTCTCACAGCTAGAAATTTACAATTGACAGTGAGGCTGTTCACGGACGCTCTGTGTGATGTCTGGTCACCACCATAACCACTGTCACCACCATCACCATCGTCACCATCTACACTGGAAATGACCTACACTCTTCAATACACACCACACTTACTAAGGCTTCGACTACCTCAAGATAGCCACCACAGCCGCCGCATCACCATATATCACCATCACTTCGCCATAAACGCATCAAAAAACACACGAGGCCTAGAACATGGTCATGCCTAAGCATTCTCTTATATGCCTATTTACTAAAGAAATAATCGTGAGCTCGACTGGAAACCCTTGATCGCGGGAGTGTGGTAACGAGAAACAGGTTCCTCGGGGAGGGAAGACCTGCCAGTGTGGCCAGCTTAACCTGATTAGATTTACCACTTAGAAAGTCACTCCCCCCTTGTGACGCTACGATAATCCCCTCACCTACTTTTATCTCCTCTCATATTTTCTCCCCCTTTTCCTGGCTTTCCCCTCATTTTGCTCTTAATCCAAAGAATTAAGGCCAGCGGAAGTTCCCTTTCTCGGATCAAACCTAATTAACTCAAATCCTTCTTATTTTCCTAGGCACCGTCTAACCCTCACTAGTTTAGCGCTTCTCCGTGAATATGATAATCACGAAAGAGAAAAGCACACACTTATGTACATAAAGTACACTGCACATACTCCTATGTACATGTAATAGTGTGCACACCCCCATATACATACGATGCACATGCACCTATGTACATATACATTTCGCACACACACTCGTGTACACATTCTGTAACACAGTAAACACACACACATGCAAATATAATACAGTGTACACACACACACACACACACACACACACACACAAATGGGTTGCCAGAGAGCAACAAGAAAAACCAAGGGACAGGAGGAGGAAACTGCAAAGGAAGATTGGGCAGCAGAGCTCATAAAAAGGGATCATGAATGGGAAAAGAAACTAGAAGAACTTAGCATGAGAATGGAAGAGAGGATAGATATGGAAAGCAGGAAGTGGGAGGTGCATGTCAAAGCAGCAGAAGCTAGGATACAGAGTTTAGAAGAGGAATTGAAAAATCTGAAACAGCCTAAAGAACTAAAGAACATTTTGGGATTGACAACAGAGACTGCTACCTCAGCCACAAATAAGGGGGCTGTAGGGAAAGAAGGGGCACAACTGCATGGAGAAGCTCTATCAGAGGAGACTGTAGCAAATGAGAGAGCTAAGCTTTATGTAGAGGCCCTAACAGACAACAACAGAGCCCAAGGAAAGCCGAGAAGGGGAAATGACAGTCCACCGAGCCCAAGTACATTAGCCAGTGAAACTGATGAAAGGAAAGCTGCAGTGGAGGAAACCAAATTAAATGAGGGGATACACAGGGATATGCAGTGGGAGAATGAAAGGGTGAGGTCAGTCTTTGTGTATGGGCTCCAGGAAGTCGAAGGGGAAACATATGAAGCAAGAAAACAAGGGGAAAAAAAGCAATTGAAAGCATCATGAAAGCAATAGGAGAAGACGATATGACCCAGCTGGAAAATTTTCGGAGAATAGGGGGGGTTTGTAAAAAAAAGAACCCGGCCAGTGAGAGTGACCTTCAAGGCAGAAGCGACTCGGACCAGGATCCTGCAGGAGAAAGCACGATTAAGGGACATGACGGCATACAGGAAGGTGTATCTCGACCGCGACAGAACACAAGAAGAAAGGCAGAAACTGAGAGAGATGGTACAAAGGCGAAAGGAGGAAAGAGAGGGGATGGAGAAGACAGACAGGAGATCCCAGACCCAGGAAGAAGATCAAATACAGCCTCCCTCACAACTTCCTATAGAAGCCTCCCAACCAGGTCAACCCCAGTGCAAACAAACACTAAATCAAAACACCCATGCCACATCCAATGCCCCCACCCACTACATTACAAACTCCACCCCCACAGCAACAACCCATAGTTCCTTACAGGTCTCCCACTTCCCCAACCCCAATATACCTCCCAGACCACAGTCTTAGAAAAGAAGTTGAAGGTGTGGTATACAAATGCAGATGGAATAACAAACAAGTATGAGGAGTGGCACGAAAGAATCAAAGAGACATCCCCAGACATAATAGCACTCACAGAAACAAAACTCACCAGAATAATAACAGATACAATCTTTCCATCTGGATATCAAATCCTCAGGAAAGACAGAGGGAGGAGAGGGGGAGGAGGAGTTGCACTGCTCATTAAAAACCAGTGGGGTTTTGAGAAAATGGAAGGAATGGATGGCACGGGCGAAAGGGATTACTTAGTAGGAACAATCCAGTCTGAGGGACATAAGGTGATAATTGCAGTAATGTACAACCCACCACAGAACTGCAGGAGGCCAAGAGAAGAATACGATGAGAGCAACAGAGCAATGATCGACACACTAGCCGAGGTGGCCAGGAGAGCACACATGGGGGGAGCAAAGTTACTAGTTATGGGTGATTTCAATCACAAGGAGATTGACTGGGAAAACCTGGAGCCCCATGGGGGTCCCGAAACATGGAGAGCCAAGATGATGGATGTGGTACTGGAAAACCTCATGCATCAACATGTTAGAGACACTACCAGAGAGAGAGGAGAGGATGAACCAGCAAGGTTGGACCTTGTATTCACCATGAGTAGTTCGGACATCGAGGGTATCATGTATGAAAGGCCCCTGGGAACTAGTGATCATGTGGTTCTGTGCTTCGACTACATAGTTGAGCTCCAAGTGGAGAGAGTAGCAGGAATAGGCTGGGAAAAACCAAACTACAAAAGGGGGAACTACTCAGGCATGAGGAACTTCCTTCAAGACATTCAGTGGGAGAGGGAACTGACAGGAAAACCAGTACAAGAAATGATGGACTATGTAGCAACAAAATGCAAGGAGGTAGAGGAGAGGTTTGTTCCCAAGGGAAACAGAAATAATGGGAAGAACATAACGAGTCCTTGGTTCACCCAAAGGTGTAGGGAGGCAAAAACTAGGTGTACTAGAGAATGGAAAAGGTACAGAAGACAGAGAACTCAGGAAAATAAAGAAATCAGCCGAAGAGCCAGAAACGGATATGCACAGATAAGAAGGGAGGCTCAGAGACAATATGAAAATGACATAGCATCAAAAGTAAAGACTGACCCGAAGCTGTTGTACAGCCACATCAGGAGGAAAACAACAGTCAAGGACCAGGTAATCAGACTGAGGAAGGGTGATGGGGAATTCACAAGAAACGACCGAGAGGTTTGTCAGGAGCTCAACACAAGATTTAAAGAGGTATTTACAGTGGAAACCAGCAGGACTCCAAGAAATCAGAACAGAGGGGCACATCAGCAAGTGCTGGATGAGGTACATATAACCAAGGAGGAGGTGAAGAAGCTGCTATGCGAACTTGACACCTCAAAGGCGGTGGGACCAGACAACATCTCTCCATGGGTCCTTAAAGAGGGAGCAGAGATATTGTGTGAGCCATTAACAAAGATCTTCAACACATCATTTGAAACTGGGCAACTCCCTGAGGTATGGAAAATGGCAAATGTAGTCCCAATTTTTAAAAAGGGAGACAGACATGAGGCACTAAACTACAGACCTGTATCACTAACGTGTATAGTATGCAAGGTCATGGAGAAGATCATCAGGAGGAGAGTGGTGGGCACCTGGAAAGAAACAAGTGTATAATTGACAACCAGCACGGTTTCAGGGAAGGAAAATCCTGTGTCACAAACCTACTAGAGTTTTATGACAAGGTGACAGAAGTAAGACAAGAGAGAGAGGGGTGGATCGACTGCATATTTTTGGACTGCAAGAAGGCCTTCGACACAGTTCCTCACAAGAGGTTACTGCAAAAGCTAGAGGACCAGGCACACATAACAGGAAAGGCACTGCAATGGATCAGAGAATATCTGACAGGGAGGCAACAACGAGTCATGGTACGCGACGAGGTGTCAGAGTGGGCGCCTGTGACAAGCGGGATTCCACAGGGGTCAGTCCTAGGACCTGTGCTGTTCTTGGTATATGTGAACGACATAACGGAAGGGATAGACTCAGAAGTGTCCTTGTTTGCAGATGATGTGAAGTTAATGAGAAGAATCAAATCGGACGAGGATCAGGCAGGACTACAAAGAGACCTGGACAGGCTACAAGCCTGGTGCAGCAACTGGCTCCTTGAATTTAACCCTGCCAAATGCAAAGTCATGAAGATTGGGGAAGGGCAAAGAAGACCGCAGACACAATATAGTTTAGATGGCCAAAGACTGCAAACCTCACTCAAGGAAAAAGATCTGGGGGTGAGTATAACACCGAGCATATCTCCTGAGGCGCACATCAATCAGATAACTGCTGCAGCATACGGGCGCCTGGCAAACCTACGGATAGCGTTCCGATACCTCAGTAAGGATTCGTTTAAGACTCTGTATACCATCTACGTCAGGCCCATACTGGAGTATGCAGCACCAGTTTGGAATCCACACCTAGTCAAGCACGTCAAGAAATTAGAGAAAGTGCAAAGGTTTGCAACAAGACTAGTCCCAGAGCTACGGGGATTGTCCTATGAAGAAAGGTTGAGGGAAATCGGCCTGACGACACTGGAGGACAGGAGGGTCAGGGGAGACATGATAACGACATATAAAATACTGTGCGGAATAGACGAGGTGGACAAAGACGGGATGTTCCAGAGATGGGACACAGACACAAGAGGTCACAATTGGAAGTTGAAGACTCAGATGAATCAAAGGGATGTTAGGAAGTATTTCTTCAGTCATAGAGTAGTCAGGCCATGGAATAGCCTAGAAAGTGATGTAGTGGAGGCAGGAACCATACATAGTTTTAAGGCGAGGTATGATAGAGCTCATGGGGCAGGGAGAGAGAGGACCTAGTAGCAATCAGAGAAGAGGCGGGGCCAGGAGCTGTGACTCGACCCCTGCAACCACAAATAGGTGAGTACAAATAGGTGAGTACACACACACACACAGGGGCTGTGAATCGACCCCAGCAACCATATGTAGGTAAGTACACACACATGGCTCTTCTATTTTTAAGGCCATTGGATTATTATTTTCACGAGGAAGCACTAAACTCTCAGAGCACATACGACGCCTGGGGAAAGTGCAAGTAATTCCGTGGATCAAGAGCTCTTCACGAGCCTCACAAAAAGGCCGAAAAAAATATATTATAGGTTGGAGAATAAGTGAGAAGTGGAGCCTCGTGTTGGCGGAGCAGAAAGACGGGGATTTATCTATGAGGAAAAAACACTTCCTCTGAATGTATTTGCTTGGACTTCCTCCTGTTTTCTGCAACATTGCAAGCACCTGATGATGTGTTGATTGCAACACGAAAGTCCTAGAGCGGCCAGCAGTAACAGGCTGGTTGATCAGACCCTGATCCATCACGAGGCCTGGTTTCAGACCGGGCTGCGGGGGCGTTGACCCCGAAACCCTCTTCATGTATACTCCAGATATTTGTGTGTGTGTGTGTGTGTGTGTGTGTGTGTGTGTGTGTGTGTGTGTGTGTGTGTGTGTGTGTGTGTGTGTGTGTGTGTGCGTAATACATATTAAAAAATTACATAGTATTGTAATTCAAATTTTTATGAAGAATAATCATTTAGTGAAAGACATCATATTAAAACTTTATGTTAAATTCAAGGTCATTTTTCAGGGTAATTAAAAATAATTAAAAAAGTAATGATGTAATTATGGTCAGAAATATGACGTTCTAATAGCGGTAAAGAGCGTAAATTAAATTATTTTTAAGCAAATTTTTATTTTGGTAAAATATTGAATTCACAATTTATAATAATTAATGAGGATGATTATAACGATAATTATAATAATGCACAATGTGATTTATATATAGGTTTCGGCTTAAATAATTCTGATATCACAGGAGCGTTCCGTAGTGAGAGGCAAGGCTAGACACAACTTTTTCATACAATCTCTTTACAAATATTCGTACACAGTTGCCCATGATCCTGATATTTTACTCCAGGCAGGAATATATTTCCATTAACAATTATAAAGCTCAAAAATTCATATTCGGCGAGTAAAACGATTTAAATGCAATTTTAATTATTAAAAAATCAGCAAAAAGTAGTTTTTTCAGGAGCGATGTTCGTCCCGGTGTCTGTAAAGTAAGCGACGCATTTTGCATCCGTGGCTCAAGAGTAATACTCTTTATTTATCTTCCCGTAATTATGAAGTAAGTTTGAGTACGCGTAGCATATTACTAATGTCCATCGGTGTAGTATTTATTGGTGGATGGGTTAAATGTGTTAGAGGAGGCGGGTGTTGTGTGTTCGTGTGTGTACAAGTTGCTTTTAGTGGTGGAGTTAGTTGAGCCTGTGGTGATGCCAGACCTGGAGCATGTCTATTTTACCTCCATGCTCGACCTGACACCTGGAGCATGTCTATTTTACCTCCATGCTCGACCTGACACCTGGAGCATGTCTATTTTACCTCCATGCTCGACCTGACACCTGGAGCATGTCTATTTTACCTCCATGCTCGACCTGACACCTGGAACATGTCTATTTTACCTCCATGCTCGACCTGACACCTGGAACATGTCTATTTTACCTCCATGCTCGACCTGACACCTGGAACATGTCTATTTTACCTCCATGCTCGACCTGACACCTGGAACATGTCTATTTTACCTCCATGCTCGACCTGACACCTGGAACATGTCTATTTTACCTCCATGCTCGACCTGACACCTGGGGAAAATGTCTATTTTACCTCCATGCTCGACCTGACACCTGGAACATGTCTATTTTACCTCCATGCTCGACCTGACACCTGGAGCATGTCTATTTTACCTCCATGCTTGACCTGACACCTGGAGCATGTCTATTTTAGCTCCATGCTCGACCTGACACCTGGAGCATGTCTATTTTACCTCCATGCTCGACCTGACACCTGGAGCATGTCTATTTTACCTCCATGCTCGACCTGACACCTGGAGCATGTCTATTTTACCTCCATGCTCGACCTGACACCTGAAGCATGTCTATTTTACCTCCATGCTCGACCTGACGCCTGGAACATGTCTATTTTACCTCCATGCTCGACCTGACACCTGGAACATGTCTATTTTACCTCCATGCTCGACCTGACACCTGGAACATGTTTATTTTATCTCCATGCTCGACCTGACACCTGGAACATGTCTATTTACCTCCATGCTCGACCTGAACCTGGAGCATGTCTATTTTACTCCATTTCTTGGGCCTGACACCTGGAACATGTCTATTTTACCTCCATGCTCGACCTGACACCTGGAGTATGTCTATTTTACCTCCATGCTTGACCTGACACCTGGAGCATGTCTGTTTTACCTCCATGCTTGACCTGACACCTGGAGCATGTCTATTTTACCTCCATGCTCGACCTGACACCTGGAACATGTCTATTTTACCTCCATGCTCGACCTGACACCTGGAACATGTCTATTTTACCTCCATGCTCGACCTGACACCTGGAGCATGTCTATTTTACCTCCATGCTCGACCTGACACCTGGAACATGTCTATTTTACCTCCATGCTCGACCTGAAAACCCGGAACATGTCTATTTTACCTCCATGCTCGACCTGACACCTGGAGCATGTGTATTTTACCTCCATGCTTGACCTGACACCTGGAGCATATCTATTTTACCTCCATGCTTGACCTGACACCTGGAGCCTGTCTATTTTACCTCCATGCTCGACCTGACATTTGGAGCATGTCTGTTTTACCTCCATGCTCGACCTGACACCTGGAGCATGTCTATTTTACCTCCATGCTCGACCTGACACCTGGAGCATGTCTGTTTTACCTCCATGCTCGACCTGACACCTGGAGCATGTCTATTTTACCTCCATGCTCAAACCTGACACCTGGAGCATGTCTATTTTACCTCCATGCTCGACCTGACACCTGGAGCATGTCTTTTACCTCCATGCTCGACCTGACGCCTGGAGCATGTTTATTTCACCTCCATGCTCGACCTGACACCTGGAGCATGTCTATTTTACCTCCATGCTCGACCTGACACTTGGAGCATGTCTATTTTACCTCCATGCTCGACCTGACACCTGGAGCATGTCTATTTTACCTCCATGCTCGACCTGACACCTGGAGCTTATAATAACAATAATAATAATAGTAATAATAATCTTTTACAGACCATAGCTAACATCAGTGGCATACTATACAGAAAGGGCCTGTTTTGGGCAACTTTGGTCAAATTTGTCCCCAGGATGCAACCCACACAAGTCAGCTAGCATCCAGGTATACCTACTTACTACTAAGTAAACAGGGACAGCAAGTGTCTCAAGGAAACACACTCCAATGTTTCCACCTGTACCAGGGATTGAACCATGGACCTCGGTATTTGAGCTGACTTTTTCTAAATTTTCTCCATTCCTCAAGGAAGGTGCCTTGATGCTGATCAGGGGCTCTTGATCCAGGGAATTGAACCTGATTTCCCTTTCCATGTGTCTGTCCTAATTGCCTGCCATTCTTCCAGGAGCTATATATATAACCCTCCATGCTCAACCCCCACACCTTAATTAAGCATGTCTACTACCTGCACTCAACCTCACACCTGCAATTTGTGTTCATCACCTCCCTACTCAACCCCACACTTGAAATGGGTCTCCACCACCTTGCTTGACCCTTTACAAGGAGATCTTCACCACCCTGTTCTACCACACACAAAGAGATCACTACCCTCTTTGACCCCATACAAAGAGAAAATCTCTACAACCTTACTTGACCCCACACAAGGAGGAAATCTCCACTACCCTGCTTGACTCCATACAAGGAGGAGATCACCACCCTACTTGACCCCATACAAGGAGGAAATCACCACCCTGCTTGACTCCATACAAGAGGAGGTGTCCACCACCCTACTTGACTCCATACAAAGATGAAATCTCCACCACCCTGCTTAATGCCATACAAGGAGATCTCAACTATTCTCCTGCTCAACATTAGGTATTGTACATGTTAGAAAAACTGTGTGTAAATTAAAAGGGCCTAAAACATGAAATAGCCCGTCAGAAGAAAATAAAGGAAGTGTTGCAGATTAATATTGCTGTAGTTCATTAGCCCTTTAGTAAGGTGCATTGAGGCTGGTGAAGAACTTGTTCCAAAGAATTGGAGAAACTCTCCCCTTCTTTGGCTCATATCTGATTATTAGCACTCATTTCCTAGGTAATGTTTACCCTGACAATAATAATCTCCCCATGATTAAAAATTTTTGCAGTAATGTTAGAGATTTGAGTTATTCATCTTTTTCAGTTCTGACGAGATAAGTTTGTCTAGCCTCTCAACTGATGAGATGAAACCAGATGATCAAGAGAGGTCCAGGTCTAAAGAGCATCGTCACAAGCACAAAAAGAAGCACAAACGTCATTCACACAAGCATAAACACCGCCATAAATCGTCCTCCAGGAAAGAAAGGTAATAAAGTATGTCTTGTGTTTTACTGAGAGCTATCTTCATATTTACTCTATGCCAGAAATCAATTTAGGTAAAAATTCTTATCTGAATATACTCTAATGTGATATTAAATCATTGTAGAGGGCTGCACTATAGTTTGAAGAATAAAAGTCACAATTCACAACACAAATTAGAAATGGAACCTAGATTACTTTTGTTTATTACCAAACTGTCATTAGGTTGTGAGGCCTTTATCAGTCATGACTTGATTATACCTGGAGGGTGTTCTGGGGGTCAACACCCCCACAGCCCGGTCCATGACCAGGCCTCGTAGTGGATCAGGGCCTGATCAACCAGGCAATACATTGAGAAAGCTTTGAACAGGCTCCAGGGGTAGAGAGGCCTTTACCAACATGTTTGTAAGGCTTTGCTTCACTCAAGATTTGGTTGAAATGGTTGCCTTATATGTATATACTGTAAAAAAAAAAAAATTATATTGCAGAAAACACAAAAAGCACCGTTCAAAACACAGACATAAAGAATCTGAAAGTGAGAGCGCAGAATCAGAGGATGTGGAAGATGTACAACTCATTGATGAGCTGCTTGAGTCTGGCTTGGAGGCTTTGGTTACTAATCACGAACGACCACGGAGTCATGGAAGGGATGTCGAGATCCGGCGAGCATCTGCTGGTAATGGTATTGTGGAGTCTATGAAAATTGTCGTCAATAATCATAATGGTAGCAGAGACCAGGTGTGTATCTCTTAAATCAGTATTGATTTGCTAAAAACTGAAATCTTTTCACTGTCAAAAGAAATTTTATTTTTTCATTTTTGATTGTTGCAAAAAATAACTAAAAAAATATTTTACTTTACCTTACATGGCTTCTTATTTTACAGCCTGTGACTGTGTATAGCAGTGAAGACGAAATAGTTGATCAGCTTTTGAGTGATGAGAATTCAAGAGAAGCCTCACGGAAGGCTGAAGAATTTTCTTTAGATTCCTCAGACTTCCTCCACATCCATGAGGACCTTAATTTGGAGGAACTCATGAAGCAGAAGTTAAGTTGATAACAGTTTAAATTTGCATTTTCTTTTAGAGGAAGTTTACTCTGTAGGCTTTACAAACAATCATGTAGTGGTTCATAACCTCTTTTCTTCCTTGCTTTGGTAAGGGGCTCTTGATCTAGGAAATTGGATCTGTGCTCCAGTTCCCTGAATTAAGCCTGAATACCTTCCACATCATCTGCACAGGTGCTGCATAATCCTATGGGTTTAGCGCTCCCCCTTGATTATAATAATAATGACCTTTTTTCATATTTTACATATTTTATTTTTTATATTTTTCATATTTTACCCATATTTTACAGTACCTCTGTTCCATTATTAATGATTTCTATTTTGGCTAAGACAGTACATAATGCAAGTTGTGTCCTAGAGGGTCGAATTAATGTGTATAGAGATGGGAGACAGCCGGTGTGCTAAAAAAAAATGGAATCTCATAGGCAGTCTTTAAGTTACCCATGTTAATACTGTATTCCAGGTGCATTGTAAATTAAATATGTTTTATGTTAAATTTTGTAAATGACTCTTAACCATTAACAGTCTATCTGCATTTGAACACCTGAGGCAAGCACTGTAAGTGCCATTTCCATTGGGTTTAATTTCCCTTACCCTTCTCTGTTGTTATTAAAATTGTTTTGTAGCAGACTTTTCAGTTAATAAAGTTGCATATTTGCTACAACAGGCAGCACTGCAGGCATGTCTAGGAGCATACATGAGTGATGTGGAGGATGAAGAAGAATTTCAAGAGACACCACAGAAGCCTGTGGTAGCCAAAAAGATAGAGGAGGAAGTTGTAACTATCGAAGACTCTGATGATGCCGAGCCTAAAAAAAAGGAGCGGAAGAAGGAGAGAGAATCTAGAGCTAAGAAACGGAAGAGAAGCAGGTATCTGATTTGTGTCACTAATGAGTGTATTTTATGTTTTTTTTAGTGCCTCAGACTTTCCTGAAACTGGTAACAAAGAAATCTTGGGGATTAGATTTAACAGATGCAATAATGATTTTGCATTGTAATGAATCAAAGAATGATCATTTTGCTTAGAACATTCTTCTCTCATTGAAGTTCTTGGCCCCTTTTTTTTATACTACACTATTTTTAAATATAAAGTGGCATTATTTATTTGATGAATATAACTTAGGTAAATTGTCTTATGCTGTTGACTTAGGCTTCTGAGCTTCTCTTTATTTTGCTATCAAATCCTTATATTGGATTACCAAGAGAAGTAAGCATGACTAAAATCCACTAATTGGATCTCGAGATGCTATTATATCTGTTAGTGGAAGCTATTGATCATATTGTATTAAGAATTCTTGACAGTAAGCCTCTATTTGCCCCTGTAAATGACATGTATTTGAGCGTTCTAGCAAGCCTACCTTCCTTGGGTGTTATGAAGCTGCGTTTGGTCGCTGGTTTGGCTCTCTGCTGTACTTATGAGCTCCTCGCTGAGTTGCTGCTGGTTACCGTTAAGTATAACCAGGTACTGATAAATGTTTTGTCAAATGTGTACTTATAGCAGTACTGCTTATAAATATTTCTATTTGACTAGGTTTGTTTTATAGATGAATCAGTCTATTATTGAGTGAGATATTGTGCTGAAAATAATTGTTTTTTGTTATACTCATTTTATCACTGAAGAACATTCATTGTAGAGATCAACTTGTTTTTTAGATGGAAAATTTTAGGGTCCAGTGAATGTTGTTACCTGAAGCAGGAATTCTTGAAATTAACCAGAACAGTGAATATGGTAAAAAAATTTCTTTGAATATGTTGATTATTAGGTTTAATGTCCATTGTTTGTATAAAAGTTCTTTGTTGATTGTATAAACATACAAATTGACTGATTTGAATGTTGAGAATAAAATACACAATACAGTGACTGGAATGATACATAAATAACCCACACATAGGAAACCAAAACTTACATTGATGTTTCGGTCCACTGTGTGACTAGTCAGTGGTCCAAGTTGTACTGAAACGTCATCATAAATCTCAGCTTCCTACGCAAGGGTTATTTGTGTATTGATTTGGATGTGTTTTATCAACTGTACTTTTAAGACATTTTGATAAGGGATTTAAATTTGCTTGTCCTCTAAGGAATTTGAATCATTTTTGGAGTGCTTGTGTTTGTGATTATGTATTGTGGATTAGTACTGTTTTTTGAGTATGCAGCATGTTGTCTGGCTAAGCAAATTGTGAAACTCAAGAGAATCCAAAGGTGTGCATCTAGACTGGTACTTAAAATAACAAAGACAAAGCCTAGAAAAGATGGAACGTAGAAGACAAGACAATAGAAGAGCTAGCTGAAGAGCCAAAAATGAATGGGCAAAGGTAAGAAGAGAGGAGCAGCAATAACTGCTGCAAAAGTAGGAACCACAACTACATAGCAACATGAGATGAAAGATTACAGTACAGGAACAAGTAATAATATTTATGGAAGTGAGCCACCGCTGTATAGCCCTTGTGGCTTAGCGCTTCTTTTTTATTATAATAATAATAATATGGAAGAGAGGAGATCCTGACTAGAAACATTAAGGAGGTTTGTGAGGAACTAATCAAACCTTTCAATATAATATTCACCTAGGAAATGAACAGAGGGGAAAGTAAAGACCAGCAGAAACAGGATGACATCACAACAACAGGGGATGAAGTAAAGAAGCTGCTAAATGAATTGGACACACAAAAGCAGTGGAACCATATAAGGTGTGTCTGGATCCTGAAAAAATTACTGTGGACACTGAATTGCTAAATTGCAAAATTCTGCAAGAGGTCAGTGAAAATAGTACCATCTAATAGAGAGCTGGAATATGGCAAATGTTGTCCCAGTATTCATACAGGAATAGACTGGAGCATTGAGCAACAAGCCTATATCTTTAATGGGCATACACTACAGTATTGGAAAAGATAATAGGTGGAGTAGTGGAGTACATAGAGAAATAGTTATAAACTACTGGCATACAAAGATTAATTCTGTCTCATTAACTTATTGGAGCTGTATGACAGGATAACACAAAATTAACTCAAATACTTCTGCATAATATATAGTGGCTTACACAAAATGAACTCAGCTTTAAAATTAAGCTTCAATGCTACAACAGTATGTCTTTGTGTTTATTAATATATAATAAGTGAAGTAACCAGCAAATAAATTGTGCACAGTAACACCAATTCATTACATTGTCATTCAGGATACCAAAGAATTTCAACTTCTTGTACAACACATTTTACTCACTTTCCATCTCTATGACTGTCATGTTTTCTACTTTACTGAACTAAAAACGAGAGACTGTGAAGCCTTTATCAAACATGTTTGGGTCATGGTGTAGCTATGTAATCTGTGTCTATGAACGGATGAAATAAATACTTCAGGTAACAACATTTCTCAAAGGTTGAAGGTTGAACTCAATGTAATTGACAATAAATAGGATTACACTCTTTCATGTTGTGCATGCATACTGCTTTACTGAATGAGTGTAGACTTTGCTGCATTAGGTTTCATTTACTTCATATCTTTGGAGGTTAGTGTAAACCGTTTTAGGAATTGAAGCTAAGTTTTGAAGAGAAGCATCTTCAAAGCATTCCGGATTTGGTGTCAGTTAGCAGTGGATTTAGTTACTGTACCTTTAGAATCAGTTACCATAAATACCAGTAATAATAACTGTTTATTGTGGACCTAGTTAGAATGTTGGTAATTTATCACATAGCCAGTCTTTTCATAAATGTAAGTACGTTATAAATTACTTAGCCAAATACCATTAATTACTGGCTGCGGGCTTCACTGTTTACAGGCTTAGTATGGAGCTGATCCAACAGCAGCTCTGCCCTGTCTACAGCGGCGTAAGTACCCAGGCAAGGGTAATGGCTTATAGCTTCTTCACTTCTCCATTATGGATATATACTTACCATTTGGAGAGAAAGAGAGAGCGAGAGAGAGTGTGACACCCTGAGATTCTTTTGCTATTGTGAATGCTCCCACTCATAACTTTTACCATCTTTCTTATTAGTGAAAAGGGCCCCTTTTAAGACTAGCATTTCTGCTTATAAAAAAAATAGAGAATATTGCACACTTATCACATCCATAGATTCATAAAATTAAATTGAGGTATCTACTTAAGCAAAAAGAATCATAAATAATAGTGTTATAAAAATATCCAAATACAAGTAACTTAATTTTAGTGAAAATTATTACTGCTGAGCAATTTACATAAGTTCTAATACTCCATACATATTTTACTAAATTAAGCATCCATCATACAACAAAAATGAACTGAGAAAAAAGTTAATTCATATTTGTCATGATGGAATGTGTAATTAAAGGGTAATGTAGAGTAAGACTTCAAGAAGTGTTAAGTGTGTGTGAATTTGTGTATTTTTCATTAATTTTTGCATCAAATATGTTAACTCATTGCAATTATGTACGTATTGCTGGGTCTTGCATGCAAGATTTCCAAGCATTCTGCATCTGTCTGAATATATGCACACACACACCCCATATTAAGGATGTTCTCACCAAAATATTACTATAGCTTACCTTGTCGAAAATTTTTTGCCTTTAGTTTTCATTTATATTTATTAAAATAAGCCCCGGTAACCTAACTGAAATAATAATCTGGTTGCTATTCTTTGAATTTTGCTCTTTTTGAAAGACATTTTATATACCCTTCTATAAAAGCTGAAAAAAACAGAAAATAAACTGAAAAATAGGAAAGTACAAAATACCTTATTAATACTGTAATAATGTGGTAAATGATACATTTATGATAACTTTTTGTCAAAGCTACAAGTTTATCATTGACGTCCATAACTAGTATGTTTTATAATTTTCATTCTTCACATTCACAGATATAACTTTTATTGCCAGTCTGTGACTCTTGAGTTCCATTCTATTTGTATTCTTGTGACATTTCATTACCGCTCCAACTCAGTCACAAAGATTGCCTGTTCCCTCAAGAAATTACACTAATAGCTGCTTTACCATATGCCTCAAAGAAGAGCATGTCTATGCATATGAGGTGTCAAAAACGGATAAGGCGTCCTTTCTTAGTAATGAACAATAAACACCAGTCTTTGAAGTGTAATACATAATTTTATTTCACTATTAGAACTGATGGAAACGTCTTTGCAGTTCTCATTTGTGGTGTACTGAAAGTTTTTAATTATCCATCATACTAGGAAATGAAATTCCTTAATGTATATATACAGTATCTGTTGACATTGAGAGTAGAGTGCTCCTCAAAGGAAGTTTCTTGATGCTGGTACAGGGAAGGCTCTTGTTCTAAGGAATTGGATCTATGCTCCTCTTCCTTGGATCAAACTTAAAGGCCTCCCATTTTCCCAAGTACTGTATGACTCCTACAAGTTTAGTGCTCCCTGTGAATGTAATAATCATGTGAACAGAGTGGGAGTAATTGTCTAATTCAGTTTGAGGGATTAGCTCTATCTTCTGGTCCAGTCTCTTAATTTTTGAGCTATTGATGTGAAATCACCCAGTCATATATTTTTTGAACAGTTCTAAGGAGTCTGCTTTCATTGTATCATTGTTGAGCTTTTTCCACTTCTTTGTCAATCTTAAGTTGAATAAGTATTTTCTGATACTACCCTTAATTTTTATAAATTGCCCATCCCACTCAGCTCAAGCACCAGTCTGAATGTACTGTGGATTTTAATGAATCTCATTTTAGGATTTACCTATTGAAGGTACACGAGGAGGGCTATTGGCTTGGTATCCTGTATTTAGTGTTTAATTTTTCACAAATAATTTATTTCTAGTAGTTGTAGAGCTTACTCCCTCTTGTGTTCAGTTACATTGGTTCTGTTTTTTTCCCTCAGTTTACAACTTTGGCCTTCTGTTATCCCTGTTGATGGGGCTTTAAAATATTGTATATTCT